AGGTTTGAACCACCAGCCTTCTGGTTAGCAGTCAAATGCCTTGGGCACTATGCCACCAGAGCTCCTCATCTGGTGCATAGATATTTATTATTGTTATGTCCTCTTGTTCATTCGCTCCTTTAATCATTATATAATGTCCTTCCTTGTTTCTTATGGTGGTTTTTGTCTTAAAGTCAATTTTATCAGAAATTAATATTGCCATGCTTGCCATTTTTCTTTGCCATTTGTTTGATATATCTTTTTCCAACCTTTAATTTTTAGTCTATTTTTGTCTTTGTCTGTAAGGTGTGTCTCTTTGTAGACAGCATATTGATGGGTTATGTTTTCTTATCCAGTATGCAACTCTCCATCTCTTGAGTGCTGCATTTAATTCATTGACATTCAGTGTAATTATTGACAAGTATGGATTTGTTGTTGTCATTTTGTTATGTGCTTTTTCGTGGTGTTCCTGATTTCTTTGTTCCATATAATTTTCTATGCTGAGCTTGTTTTGTTTAAGAATCGTGTTATCACTTCCTACGTTGCTATTGTTTTAGCATTTGCTAAATATTTGTGCTGGTCCTCTTTTTCATTTTGATGTGAAGGTTTAACATTTTTCTTTAAGGTTACCCTATCTTGCAGTTGTCTTGACTTCCCTAACATCTAGAAGTTCTTTCTGTAAGTCACAGTTTTTTCCCTCTTTTTGGTTTGTAGTTGTCCTCATTTGTCAATTGATGTCTCTGATTCCTTGTTTACAATCTCGTAGGTTTATGTACTTTGGGTACTTCCATAATTGGGTTGTTTTCTGGGTTATATCATCATTTGTGTTAATGGTCAGTTGTTATTTGCTGGTACTGGTTCTCTCTCCAAAGGACTTCCTTTAGCATCTCTTGTAAGGTTGGTCTGGTTTTAATAAATTCCCTTAATTTCTGCTTATCTGAAAATGTCCTAATTTCACTATCATATTTCAAGGACAATTTTCTTGGGTATATAATTCTTGGTTGAAATTTTTTTTTTCTTTCAGTGTTTTATATATACTATCCCCTTATCTTCTTGCCTGCATGGTTTCTGCCAAGAAATCCAAACTTAGTCTTATTGGTTGCTCCTTATAGGTAACTTTTCCTTTTTCCTGTGCTGCTTTCAGGATTCTTTGTCTTTGGTTTTGGTGAGTTTGATGATGATATGTCTTGGTGATTTTCTTTTGGGGTCTATCCTGTTTGGGGTTTGTTGGACTTCTTGAATGGATATATTCTCATCTTTCATCCTACCAGGGAAATTCTCTTCCAACAAATCTTTGACAATTTTCTCTGTGGTTTTATTTGTCTCTTCCTGTTCTGGAATTCTGATTATGTGTAGATTATTCCTTTTGATGGTATCCCTCATGAACTTTAGGCTTCATTTTGTTTGATCTTTTTTCTGATTGACCTCTTTCCAAAGAAGTATTGAGGTATTTCTCTTCAGTGTCACTAATTCTGTCTTCCATTGATTCAATTATACTCCTTTGCCCTTTCAATGTGTTATCTATTTCTGAAAATTTAGTATTAACTTCTGGATTTCTGTGTGTAGATTTTATATCATTTCTAATTTTTTATTTATTTTGACATTTTGTTTTTGTATTGTCTTTCAAATTTTTTCTAGGGTTTTGTCTATCTTTTACTCAATTTTGTGTTTTCCTTGATCTGTTTCTCAATCCACTGAAGGTACCTAAATATAATTCTTTTGAATTCCTTATCAGGGAGTTCCAATGCTGCTTCTTCCTCAGGGATGTGTTCTGGGTCTGTATCCTGGTCCCTTGTTTCTCCTGGTTTATCTTGCTTCTTTGTGTGGACTGTGATGCTCTGTTTTTTCCTTTTTAAGATCTGATTGTGTTTTTATTTAATTGGCAATTGTATGTTGGAGTGACTTGCCCACAATTTATGTTTTCTTTGGATGTTATCTATGTAAGCAGGGTACCGTGCTCCTCTATTTCACTAGTTGGCAGCACTTATACACTCACCACCTGCTCCTTTTCTATTGTCAGCCTCCTGTATGTCCCTGCCATCCTTGGAAATGGAGCGTATTCTTAGGTCCCTGGAATCAAATGAGAATGCTGTCACTTTAAATATCCACAATGGCTGCCATTTGTAAACAATGAAAATGGCTGCACTCTCAGTCACTTTAAATATCCAAAATGGCTGCCGTTTATAAACAATCAAAATGGATGCACCCTCTGGAGAGCCAAAACTCCACAGTTCATGTTGTCTCCCTCCTTACTGTTTCCCTTCCTAGTCATAGGCCACCAGTACAGTCATCCCTGCAGCCCTTGGTGACCAGGGATGATCTTCAGGTTAATTCTTAGGTCCCAACACCACTTGGAAATATTCAGGCTGTTGGTTCCATCAAAGTAGCTGACAGTCTGCAGCTCCGTCCATCTCTGTACTCACTGTTTTCATTCAGGTTTTTCCACTAGCTGGTGCCTAATTCACTTCTGTATACATCCTTTCAAAACTCATGGCTCCAGGTTTATCTTCTGTATCTCTGTCAATTGGTTGCTCTTTTCTTTGTTGAAGAGGGTCTGTGTAGCTTGTCTGTCTATTCAACCATTTTACCGGGAGTCTCTCTACATGACCTTAATCTTGTCCTTTATTATTTCATAACCAAATTACTGAAAAACCTCCCAATTTACTTTCTTGATTCTCCATTTCAATTCATCCCACATACTGTGAAAAATTAATTGCTTAAACATTGATTTAAAAAAAAAAGGAAGAAATCCTTTTTGTTGTGATTTGGGTGAAGTTACAGAGGAAATCAGTTTTCCATTTGTGGTGCAGTGAATTACTTGGTATGGTTTTTGTAGCCATAGTGTTTGTAAATCCCACCAGATTATTGGGTGGGACCATGCAAATAAGCTGTGTAGAACTCTGATGTTGAGATTAGTTACTTTAGTCACTCCGTAGGCTTAAAATGAGCCTTCCTAGAGGCAGAAGGGGAATCTCACAGAAAAGAACTGGAGGTGAAATGGAACGTGTCCTTAGACCTGAGATCTCTGTTCTGGACCTGCTTGGCAGAGAAGCTTGGTAGAGAGAGCCACCCAGCAGAGAGATGGTGGCAGTGGAACCAAGAGGCATGAGACAGAGCAGTGGGCTTACCTGGCCCACAGAGTGAGAAAGCTGAGTGCCCGTGGGCAGGAGGCTTGCTGATGGAGGGGGGTGTTGTTGTTGTTGTTGTTGTTTGCTGTCAAGTTGGACCCAACTCATAGTAATCCCTCCTTGGGTTTCCGAGGCAGTATCACTATGGAAGTAGATTGCCCCATCTTAGGTATACCTATTGGCAGAGCTAAAAAAGCTTTCTAACATTTGCCCAAGCAGGGCAGAGGCCAGACTGAGGTCAAGGGCCAGAGAGGTGTGCCTGAGGGCATAGCAGAGAGGAGACTGTCTTGATCAAAGAATGGTATCCTGAGCATGTTCCTGATCCTGAATTGCAGTCTGTTACTTCCCTAATAAACCTCATAATCGTGAATATTTTCTGTGAGTCCTATGTGGCCATTGCAACAAATTATTGAACCCAGCAGAGAATTAGTGAGTACTGTGGGAGGGACAGCTGGTGTCAGAGTTGGTAAAGATGTTGGAAGGTAGCAGCATGATGTCTGGCCTCATAGGAATAAGCATTGGGCTGTATTGATGATGATTCTGTCTTACCCTCTTGAGGTTGGAGGCAGTCAGAAGATGTCACCCTCACATTCTTTTTGCAACATTAAACAATTCATATACATTTTGTTTCATGTCATTGGTTGCAATCCCTTCAATGTAACATCACTCATCCCACTTCCTTGAGCCATAGGGGCTAGTTCAGCTAAAGGTCCAAAGGGTAATTATGGGCCATAGTCTCAGGAATTCCACCATTCTCTCATTGACTAATAAGCCTGGTCTTTTTTTATGATTTTGAGTCTTGTTCCAAAACTCTATCTAGTGTCTCTCATCTTCCAATATGATCCCATTCAGAATGGTTGATAGTAGCAGTTGGGCACCATCTAGTTCTGGTCTCAGGGTTGTGGAGGCTGGGGTTCATGTGCACCATTAGTCCTTTGGACTAATTATTTCCATGTGTATTTGATTTTCTTCCCTCTTCTTTGCTCCAGATATGGAAAGACCAATAGTTGCACCTTCAATGGCTGCTTACAAGCTTTTAAGACTCCAGTATTTATTCACCAAAGCAGAATGTAGAACATTTTCTTTGTGGATTATGTTGTGCCAATTGACTTTGCTGTCCCTTGAGACTATGGTCCTGAGCCCCCAGATTCAACAACTCATTCCCTAAAGGTTTTTGGTTATGGCTAAAAAGTGTCCATAACTTTGCCTCCTGTATACTCTGCTATACTCATGGATATATTTGCAGCATAATTAAATACATATAAACATTGATTAATTTCATGTCACTTATTTCTCATGTACAGTCATTGCCTCAAGAATTCAAAGACTTATTGTACTTAAGTTTTTAAAAAAAGGCATATCTAACTCTATTTTATATCTGAGGCACAAATTTGGGAACTAAATCTTCTGATCTCAGGAGTATCATTCTTTTTTTTTAATCAATCTAACCCCTGCTTTAACAGATATAATGTATTCACCCTAATCTTCATGGTGTTTTTAAAATAATTACCCTGTACTTACTCTACTATGCTAAACATACACCCAATATAAACACTCTACTCCAGAGAGGTAAGCTTTTCATAATCCCTTAGAAGCATCCTTTCCAACCTGTTTGTCTGAACTTGCATATACCTTTCCCAGGAATGTCCACCTCATCCTCCTCTGTTTTCTATCTTTTAATGATCATCCTGAATTCCACTTTGGTAAAATTAGGTCCCTTGCTGATGCAAACAGTTTGCATTCGACTTCTAACATAAAGGTTGGTGGTTTAAACACATTAAGCATGGAAGAAAGGCCTACCAATCTGCTTCTGTAAAGGTTACAGCCAAGAAACCCTTATGGAGTAGTTGTATTCTGTAACACATGGAGTTGCCATGAGCTGGAATCAACTCAAGAGCAATGGAATTTGTTTTGTTTTGTTCAGTAAAAGTCTTTTTTTTTTTTTTTTGGCCAAATGAAAATTCATTCTCTTTTCTTTCCAGAGTTCTCATTGTCTGTAACACATATTTTACTGTCTCCTACTGGTTATTGTTTTGTCTCAATATCTCATTCACTGGTTTAAAAAAAAAAAAAAAAATCATTCTTAAATTCCTCCTACTTCAGCTGACATCTATTATTCTTGTTTGATTCTCACTGTAAATGGAGGACATGTGATCACCATGTTATAAAAGCAATATTTGGTGTACTCTATTATTCTTTATAGGAGCTCTGGTAGCATAGTGCCTAAGGCACTTGACTGCAATTGAGAAGACTGGCAGTTCAAACCCACTAGCCACTCCTTGGAAGGAAGGTTGGGCAATCTACTTCTATAGTGATACCGCCTTGGAAACCTAAGGAGGGGTCGCTATGAGGGCCAACTCAACGGCACATAACAACAACATTATTCTTCATCTTTTCCTTCACCAGTTGAGTGACCCTTTTTTATTTCAGTTTAGGGAGAGATACTTTTGATTTTATTCTCAGAGAAAATTCAATTACATGTAGACTCTTTGAAAAAGCAGTGGGGTTAGCCTTTCTATAGGGCAAATAGATATGAGAGCAAAATAACAAGTTGATGGATTAAATTGTTCCAGTAATAAACATTCTCTGACCAAATTATCTTACCCTACTTGATAAATAAGCAGTTATTAGAAATTAATGATAAAAATTTGGCTCACACTGAAGACTGTGTCTTGTTTCTTCTTGATAGTTGGGGCAGCTCCTGGAGCACCTGCATTCCCTATTGCTGAAGACCTCGCTTATTCAGTAACAATGGGAGAAAATTTGCAGAGTGTTGTTCAAGCAAAAGAGACAGTCCGAACGTATTTCCCTGAGACCTGGATCTGGGACTTGGTAGTACTTGAGTAAGTTGTGTTGTTGCTTTGAATTTTGTTTTAAAGGGGATTTGAATCTTCCCTATTTGCTGGTGTTATCAATGGTTCCAGTTCCTTTCAGTTCTGCTCTACTTTTCTCTAGTAAATATTTAGGCTCACAGTTCATCTATTTCATAGATAAATAACGTAAATGTGGTGGACTTTGGCTCTTGAGACACCTAAAATAACAGAAAGCTATGTAGCATCAAAAAAAAAAAAAAAA